ATCCTGTCACCCATTCCATTCAATTACGCCAGTGACTGGATTCTCGGGAAGACCCGACGTGAAGAGGGCAGTGCCGAGCTTGCATCCGGACATCGGCTAAGTGATCTCGAAAAAGCCGATGATATCGCCTTACTAGCCTGAAGCTCTGGGGATCTACTGTTCATGGCGTCACAGTTGAACAAGGTCGCTAAATCGGTCGGCTTTTAGCCATAATCGCTGGGAAGACTAAAATGTTTTGATGCTGCATTTCTGCCCAAAAGAAGGTACCTCTCGAGATTGGCGGCTGTCATCCGGAAGAATACCCCGGGCGAATGTACAGAGTAAGAAGGGCATTTTCTCCCGAATAGATGCAGCTCGTTGAGTGTTTCCAAGCCTTAGAAAGCGCGTATGGACCCGACGCAATACTTCCATTTCCACGGAAGTTTCGCGTGTACTGTGCAGCCGTTCGGTCTGTCCTTTTCTATGGCTGTGAATGCTGGGCTATGCATGCAGCACACCCCTGCTGCGGCGTTGGGAGCGATAAGTTAAAAAAATTAGACGACGGTATCCTACGCGATAAAAAACCTTAACAAGCTCGGTCCACTTACCGGACATAGGATAGGATCCTTTGGTGGATGAGTAAGCGGGTAGGATCGAGGACCTGTGGAAGGTGGCGCCTTCCCATTGAGTTCCTCAGCATCCAAGACAGTCTCAATACGCCGCTGGAAGGCACGACGCAGTGATATGGGGGTTCCGGCCCGCTTGCTGGCATGAACGCGGGCCACTGTACGCGGGGAGGGGAGGCATTTAGGGGGAACGCGGATGCTCAAACTGTTGGAATCAATTTTGCCGCCGGTAACTGGAGCAAACTGAAAACAAAACTTGGTTAAAAGCCCGCAAGCGTTCAAAAGGAAATTCGCAAAATTGAAGACCAAGGCATTCTGGTTTTGCTGGCCGTGCAATACGGTTTCAGGCGGCCTTCTACGTGAATAACCAAGCCAAAGCCTTAAACGGTCGCCAAAAAAGGTAAGCTATGTTATTAATCAAAGTTCAGCGGAGCGCGTTGGGGATGCACTGTTTGCGAGAAAATAGGTAGGTGGGACCT